ATTGATTGATTGATTGGTACTGGGGATCGAAGTCAGGACCTTGCACTTGCGAGGCAGGCAGTAACACCACTGAGCTAAATTCCTGGCCCCAAAACACTACTATTTTACAGAGAAAAAAAAAACCACCACTGGTAAATTATTGAAAATAAGACATTTTTACTAGTGAACTAAAAATAGCATTTGCATCACAAAAAGACTTGCAACATGACTTTTTAAAAAACATACTGAATAATATATGGCAGAACTACACATTTACTATCTTTTTGTCTTATAAAGCAGGACAAGTGCATTTCCAAAGTACTTCTGTAGCCACTGTACCCACTGCCCCCCAACACTGAGGCAGGGAGAAAGAGCAGGAATCTTTTAAGGAAACTGAGGTCCCAGAAATTAAACGACTGTCTTCATCAGCAGCAGAATCAGACATGAGGCTAATTCTCCTGATTCATGTCACCATAAATAACACATATTCTCAAATAGTGGAATGGGAAGATGAAGGTACTGAGCAGGTGGTTCATACCCAGGGGTGGCAAGATTACCAATAGAGGGTGTGGGAAGCCGAGAGTCATCTGCCAGGTGTCTGGCATTTCTAAAACTTGAGTTCTCGAGAGGTGAATCAGAAATGCATCGGGACACAAGCTGAAAATCTTCGTGTAAAGGAAGTTTGCAGGTTGCTGCTGGCAAATATGACTCATAGGTCTTAATTCTGGAAAAGATCATCAGCATCACAGAATCACTCCATCAGCTGTCAAGGGGTGAGAGCTGCAGGGGTAACAACTTCTACCAAGGTGGTTACCATCATGGGCTCTGCAGAACCTCAAATTGCCCACATGCTGGGACTATGTACCAGGTTTTTAGCTTCTGCCTCCTGTGATACCTTGCTCTGACCTACAAATCCCAGACAGGAGAAGCACTTCTTGGATTGTGTCTGTAAAACTTGAGGTTCTGCCATGTGTTTTGGTGCATACTTATAATCCCCAAGAGCTAAGGCAGGATGATCCCAAGTTTAACCCCCGCCTAGGCAATTTAGCAACTTACTGAGACCCTGTCTCAAAATAAAAAATTAAAAGGGCTACAGTATAGCTCATTGTGAAGGCTTTGGGTTCAATCTGTAGAATTACGAGAGCGAGAGAAAGAGAGAGAGAGAGAGAGAAAGCTGAGGTTATAGCAGGCACAGTGGCACAGGCCTGTAATTCCAGCTACTCAGGAGGCTAACGCAGGAAGATCACTAGTTCATGGCCAGCCAGGACAACTTATGGAGACTTGCCTCAAAATAAAGAATATAAAGGGCTGGGGGTACGGCTCAGTGGCAGAGCTTGCCTAGTGCAAAACCCTAGATTTAATCCCCAGTATCACCAAAAAAAGAAAAAGAAAAAACAGAAAAGAGAACTGAGGTCCCTTCTCCCTAATTCACTGGCGAAAGGCACTGGGAAAGCTAATGCTTGTGTTGTGTTTCTTGGCAGATGCTCGATTCTGCCACAGCCCCTTTCCTGGGTTAGGTGCTTGTCTTTCCAGTTGAGGACAAGGGTCCTCAGCTTCTTCCAGTCATCAGGGTCCGAAAAGCTCAATGCTGTCCAGTTTCTCCTCTTTGTAGAGCAGGATGTTCTCCATCAGTTTCCTTTTGGCCTCATTTATCTCAATTTTCCATGAAGTCTCTGGAGCTGAAGTTCAACAGAAAGTAAAAAAACAACGTGAACAAAACTGATTATTATTATAGCTTTTGGAAAGTCAGGCTTACAATAGGTAAATCTTGGAAGCAGCCTATTGTCTATCAATAGATGAATGGATAAAGAAAATGGAGTACTACTATGCCAAAAAGGATAAACTTGAGTCATGTGTGGTTAAATGGAAGCATGTTGAGACTATAATTTTAAGTGACATAAATCAGACACATAAGCTAAAATTTCTTGTTTCTCTTATATGACAAAACCAAAGTATATGTACATATATATATATATTTTTTGTTTTGTTTTGTTTTGTTTTTTGAGACAGGGTCTCACTATGTATCCCAGGCTGGTCTTGAACTCACAGCAATCCTCCTGCCTCAGCCTCCCAAGTGCTGGGATTACAGGTGTGCACCACCACACCCAGCTCCGAAATATAATTTTAAGAGCAAAATAAAATATAATAGAAAACTGGGATATAGTTCTTTTTTCTTTTTTTGCAGTACTGGAAATTGAACTGAAGACCTTGTGCTTGTGAGGCGGGCACAGCGCCACTGAGCTAAATCCCCAACCTGAGAGAGCTCTTTTTTAAATAGGAAGAGAACCAAGAGATGGAGGGAGAAAGGGAAAGAGGAGGGAGAAGAGGGCAAGCAGAAGTAAAAAGAATTAGATGTGCTCAGAACATGTACCAACTCTCCACAATGAATGTAATCACATGTACTAATGAAAAAGCAAAAATGAAGAGTCAGACTTGGGTCAGTCTCACTAAGGCAGGTTTCTGACCCAGGCCCAAATGTAACGACCACATTCACCACTTTCACCTTTGCCCCACCTTTCCAGAGAAAACTGGGCTCCCAGACTGCTCCCCACAGCAAGGGTGCAGGTCTGGAGTCAACAGGAAGACAACCCCTCCGTCCTTCCCAGGAAGAGCAGAGTGGAACTATGCTTCCAGAGGAAGGGGCATTTCCCTGATAAGGTCTTTTTCGTTTTTATTTCAAAGGAAGCCTGTCATATCTGCACCCAAGTGGCAGCCAGAGGGGTCCTTAGAGGAAGTGGTAGGCAGGGAGGGAACACTCTAGCTTCACTGGCCCAGGGAGAGTTCTGACTGGGTCTCTCAGGGTGATGGGTATTTGACACGGGGGCGCCGGGTCCTGTTTTGTTTTTTTTTTTTAAAGCCATTCTCCACCTGGGGTATATCGCAGTGGCAAAGCTCTTGCCTAGCGTGCTTGAAGCCCTGGGTTCTAATCCTAGCACCTTATGAGTAAATTAATAAACATATAAGTACAGAAATAAAAAATAAAAACCACTGTACACTCTGGTAGGCTAAAGTAGGAGGATCACAAGTTCAAGCCCAGACCCTGTGAAAGAAAGGAAAGGAAGAAAAGACAGAACACAGCCTTCGATTGCAAATACTAACCAAAACAAAAAACAAAACAAAACAAAAAAACCCCCCAAAAAGGCTGCCACCAAAAAATCACCAGGAAAGGGACCTAATGGATCAGAAGAAGAGGGGCGGGTTCAGCGATTCCAGCAATGGGACAGTAGGGCGAAGGAAAAGCGGGAAGGGGTGGTGGTGACAAGGAGGCCTACGGCTCTCCTCGAGCTTGGCTGGATCCTTAAAGGAACCAGCACGGAAGGGCGGACGCCGGCGGCTCGCTTACCGCCCTGGGCCCCGCAGA